CACCAAAATTCTGAAAAAATACCCATGGTTTTTTCCAAAAACGGCTCTGAAATCACCTCCAATTTTTATTACATTTTCTGATACATATTGATGTCCTTATGCTGTGTAGAAAGTTTGAGGTGATTCCGACTTCAATTTTTCAAGTTACGGCTATTTTAAGAAAATGTCAAAATTTTGAAAATACCCAAGGCTATAGCCCATGGTTTTTTCCAAAAAATGGCTCCAAAATCACCTCCAATTTTTATTACATTTTCTGATACATATTGATGTCCTTATGCTGTGTAGAAAGTTTGAGCTGATTCCGACTTGAATTTTTCAAGTTACGGCTATTTTAAGAAAATGTCAAAATTTTGAAAATACCCAAGGCTATTATAGCCCATGGTTTTTTCCAAAAAATGGCTCCAAAATCACCTCCAATTTTTATTACATTTTCTGATACATATTGATGTCCTTATGCTGTGTAGAAAGTTTGAGCTGATTCCAACTTGAATTTTTCAAGTTACGGCTATTTTAAGAAAATGTCAAAATTTTGAAAATACCCAAGGCTATAGCCCATGGTTTTTTCCAAAAAATGGCTCCAAAATCACCTCCAATTTTTATTACATTTTCTGATACATATTGATGTCCTTATGCTGTGTAGAAAGTTTGCACTGATTCCGACTAAAATTTTTCAAGTTACAGCCATTTTATGTAGCATATGGTCTAACTGAAAGTACATTAAGGCCCATTAACATTATTCCACTTCACTTGAATCAGGATTTTTTTCCTATTATTCCTTTAGGATGTTTATACTAATCCAGCAGCTGCATTCTCATAAGAAGCATCCACTTTGGTATCCCTTTTCATTTTGCTTTACAGGTTTTCATGTATTAGTCTAAACAGGGCCTAAAATGTACATGTAGAATGCTCATATCATACCTGCTCCTAGTATTGGCTCATTGTTAGTGTGTTCAGGATCAGCTGCTGCCTTCTTCTCTTCTTCTATCATCTCTTTTTCATCTTGAGAAACAAGCCGGCCCTAAAAGAGTAGAAATAAATAAATTAATTAATTAATAATAAATCCTTTTCTTTTTCTCGTCTACCTTTGGTGGAGGTTTCAAGTTAATTCTGGCAATGCTTTCTATGACTCTTTGTCCTTTTTGATTGTGTCCTTTTGAAATATGGAATCTTGCTGACTCAGGAACAAACTACAATTTATAATGTACAGTAAAGAAAATAATGAAGAGAGAGAGAGAGAGAGAGAGAGGAGTCAGTTCTCCACTTACTATGAAAAACACAGTATGGTAAAAAACTTCACTTTACTATGGTAAAGCACAGAGTGCTATGTAGATCCTCCAGTTAATGTTCTCAAAATCCCCATTGGAGACATCGATAGGATCAGGAACTACATGTATATAAATCACATGATGATCACATGACAGTCACATGTACAGTGTATCTTACCATTAGGAATGACCCCCAGTGCTAGCAATGCTGCCAAACAGCTCCCTATAGCCCGCCAGACCTCTATCAGTACCAGACAGGCCCCACGGAGTTTCTTAGGCAAGAACTCAGTGTAGTGCGTAACTCTACATGTACATGTATAAATACATATTGAATGTGAAACATAGTGTACATGCATCTACTATAGTAATGTATAAGTAGTACTATTGTATACTATAATTTGTTTCTACAGTATACTATATATGTACACATATAATACTGATGTGTATACTAAATGTATGTACATTGATGTAAATGTATATTAGTTATTTTTCCTTTCTCTTTTTTTCAAAATCTCCCCTTTTCTTTTTCTCTTCCTTACGTCTGAGCTGTTCCTCCGATACCAAAGCCTGCCAGACAACGAAACAACAACAAACTGCCATAATTAGGAGCAGCTGCACTTGCAAGACCAAACAAAAATAATGAGAACTGTTACTATTAATAGCACCTACAGTACATAAGAATAATACTACTATAAATAGAACCTAAGTATGTGTGTGTATGTCATAATTGTTATTTTGGGATGTCATGTGAGTATCATGTGACTTACCCTTTTATGTCCAATGATGTCAGCAATAATTCTCCAGAATAGACCACCAATCAAGAAACCAACAAACACGACCTAAAGAGAGAGGGAGAGAAGGAGAGAGATGTGATGGAAGGGAGAAGAAATAATTAACAGACTATTATACATGTAATAAGTAATTTGGCAAATATATTAAATAAAACAACTAGACTCAAAGCTAAAAACAGCACTTACAGATATTTAACATACATGTACATACACATGTGATGCTAAATTGCATGCTTGCTGTTCCTCCTCAACATTGGGAGGAGGCACATTAATGTACCTGTCCTCCTCGGTCACAGAATCATCAATGTCAGCCATAAAGAGAAATAGAGAGAATGCAGACAGTTCTCATGAGTTCTAGTGTATGTACCGTAAATGTTCAAATAAAGGCTGGGCTTGAATAAACGCCTGGTACTAAGAATCTCCAAGTATAGATACATGTAGATCTACGCATATTTTAGTCAATATAAGTCCAACAATTATTGGAGTGTCCCAAATGGCCTAACTTGTTCAGGTTAAGTTGAGGGTATTGAATTTAAAGGTCCGGGTTCAAATCCCAGCATTATTTTTTATTTTACGATTTTTTTGTCCTGGAAAGAAATAAAAGCCCGGGCTTTTATTTGAACATTTACGGTGTGTAGATCTATAATGCATAATTTATTACGGTGTTAATCAGCATAAATTTTGTGCTGCTGCTACTATCACGGAATGATTTTAACAACAAGTAAATAAAAAACATTAAAAATGGAAAAGTAGTAGGATTAAATTGTAAAAAAGTAAGAAACAAGA